CTAATTGTGGAGAAAACTATAACTAGTTACTTGAAGCCCAGGACTTAAAAGCACGCGCTCCAAAGCAAATAAGAAAGTCTGCTGGTTACTAAATGAGACCCTACAGGTGCCACTGTTGCTTCACAGAGAGAGAGTAAATACTTTTTTTATTAAGAATAGATACATGCTTTCATTCTTGGATAATAATAAAGTCTTCTTAGAAAACATTTAATCATTTAAATAATTTTATGCTCATATCACAAAAAGTCAATGGAAGAGAATATGAAAGAATAGTTCCCATCAATTCCTATATGTGAACCAATGGGGTTCAAATTAAGAAGAGAGAACATATATCAAGAAATAGATTCAGGCCATAAAAACTGACTCTATGTTCTGAAATACTCTACTGATACTAAAAATTTAATGCTACTGTGTACCACTTGAGGACTGAACTCTGATCTTTTTCTTTTGCTCAAAATTCCTTTCCTAAGGGGCCCATATGAGTCACACTCCACAATGTAAAATCCACTAAGCAGGTTTGTTAACCAAATATAAGTGGTTTACTTTCCAACCTGATTCCAGTATAGCATTAGTATCATCTAAAAGGATAAAGTCCCCATCTTAAGTCAAGCATCCTAGCAGTTCCTTATCTTAACTTGAAAGATTCTCCTGTTGGATCTCCCGAGTGCTCACACCTTTATCTTAAAGTAAGCATTTCCTTTCTCTGATCTTGTAGATAAAGCCTAACTCTCTCAGCCAATTGTCAGCCAAAGAATCTTTAAACCCACCTATAACTGGTAACACCTCCCCTTCAAGATGTCCCACTTTTTGGGCAAACCAATGTATGCCCGTATCCCCTGAAATGTATATAACCAAACTATACCCCAGCCACAGCAAGGCTTCTTGGGAGTGACTCTGGGCCATGGCCCTCAAATTTGGCTCAGAATAAACCTCTTTCAAATATTTCAGAGTTTGGATTTTTCCATCCACTATGCTGTTTCTGTGAAAAATGTATTCTTCATTCCAAATCTGAGGTAGGGATGTGTGTCTCTACCCTGATGGCTACTTTCAGCTGTAAGGTCTTGGCAAGTTATTTAACTTTTCCATCTGTAGAATACCATTAAAAAGTGAATAGCACCATGTACATATACAGGGTTAGACAATTACTTCTCTGCAGGAATAAAAAGCTTCCAACTTCTTTGGCTGTTGAGACCACATTTAAATATGACAGGGAATCTTTTTTATTTATTTTATTTTATTTTATTTTTTGAGACAGAGTCTAGCTTTGTTGCCCAGGCTAGAGTGAGTGCGGTGGCATCAGCCTAGCTCACAGCAACCTCAAACTCCTGGGCTCAGGCAATCCTCCTGCTTCAGCCTCCCGAGTAGCTGGGACTACAGGCATGCACCACCATGCCCAGCTAATTTTTTCTATATATATTAGTTGGCCAATTAATTTCTTTCTATTTATAGTAGAGACAGGGTCTCGCTGTTGCTCAGGCTGGTTTCAAACTCCTGACCGCGAGCAATCTGCCCACCTTGGCCTCCCAGAGTGCTAGGATTACAGGCGTGAGCCACTGCGCCCGGCCTTGACAGGGAATCTTTGTCCTACTGGTAAAAAAAGATGCTAGCTTTGGTGTCTCAGGACATGTGTCATTGGACCATGGCTAATTCAGGGTCTATTGGCCAGGTGTGGTGGCTCACAGCTATAATCCTACCACTCTGGGAGGCCAAGGTGGGAAGATTGCTTGAGCCCAGTAGTTAAAGACCAGCCTGAGCAAAAGCAAGACCCCAGTCTCTACTAAAAATAGAAAAATTAGCTGGGTGTGGTGGCACGTGCCTATAATCTCAGCTACTTAGGAGACTGAGGCAGGAGAATCGCTTGAGCCCAAGAGTTTGAGGTTGCTGTGAACTAGGCTGATGCCACGGCACTGTAGCCCAGGTGACAGAGCAAGACTCCATCTCAAAAAATATAAATAAATAAATAAATAAAATTTAGGGTCTGTTATGTATGAAGAGTAGACTATGACAATTCACTTTATCCACTGGGCATTTAGGTTTCTCATCTTTCAAAGAAGGAGGTTGGATCAAATGGCTCTTAAATCTCCTCCAGCCAAGAACCCTATGGCTCTCTAAAACTTGTACCACAGAGGGCATCATTCTATTTTTGCATAATATACTATACTGACAACCTTTTGCAGAAATTAAAGTTGGGGGACAAAGGGTTGTAGCACCCATGGATGCCATCATTCAATCATTTGAGCTCTTCCATGTAGCAGACATGGTGCTAGACTCCGAGGATATAAAATGATACCATCTCTTTCTTTAAGCAGTTTATGGTTAAATTGAGAAACAAATACAAATAAATAATTACAATGCAACAGGATGAAGGTATGGATTGTGTTATATCTAAGGAGCTGTGGCGATAAATGATAAGGTAGACACTTGTCTTCAATAAGCTGCTAGGCAGTCAGATTCATGGAATTCAGAATAACTCTAAGTGACTTTTCTCATTTGCCGAGAGCTATTTTCTTTTTTCTTTTCTTTTTTTTTTTTTTTGAGACAGAGTCTTACTTTATTGCCCAGGCTAGAGTGAGTGCCATGGCGTCAGCCTAGCTCACAGCAACCTCAATCTCCTGGGCTCAAGCAATCCTCCTGCCTCAGCCTCCTGAGTAGCTGGGACTACAGGCATGCACCACCATGCCTGGCTAATTTTTTGTATATATATTTTTAGTTGGTTAATTAATTTCTTTCTATTTTTGGTAGAGACGGGGTCTCGCTCAGGCTGGTTTCAAACTCCTGACCTTGAGCAATCTGCCCGCCTTGGCCTCCCAGAGTGCTAGGATTATAGGCGTTAGCCACCATGCCTGGCCTTCCTAGAGCTATTTTCAAGATGAGAAACTTTCTGGACTATCCTTCTGTGGCTATATCTATTTTGCCTCAGAGAGACTTAGGGAAGGTATTTTCTGAAGTACACACTCCTGGGTTTTATAATCTATATGAAAATAAGAAGTGAATTGCCTGTTGCACAGCAGAAGGAAGACAGATAATTGTTTGTGCTCTACCAGAAGAGATTCTCCTGCCATTTAGCATAGATATTCACACCCAATTTCAGTCCCAGTATCTTTCTAAATTCCCTCTCCTCAGTGTTTTTCACTGGCCCTTTCCTCTTCTCTGCAAAATGCTATGCTCAGTTTTTCCAAATCTTTCTCAACTGGGTCAGCAGCTTCTAAACCCCCCACTGCCTCTGTGTTCTTGCCAATATGCTTCCATTGATCTGAGACTTCCAAACCAGAGCATTAAGGGGCTGGAAAAGAAATGAAAGAGCAAATGCCAATCTTTGCCACCTAGCAATTTCAAAGGCTACCAAATCCCCATCTGCTTACCAGGCTCTCAGTAGTAAGCTCCGGCAAATCCTGGATGGTACAGCAAGGGTAATCCAGGACCGAGATGCTGCAAGATACAGAGATAAGGACAGGCTTTAAGTAAATGGCAAGAGCAGTACAATGGCTGTATCTGAAAAGGGCAGGAGTTATTTCTCTCCCGCAGGCTCCATCCATTTCCCAAATTGCTTAGTGACCTCAGCTGAAATTGAGGGCTCTAGTGCTGGGCAACTCCAGCTGCAGTCTCCTCTCCTCAGTCATGAGAGGAACCCATGAGTTCTTTTAGGCTGGCCCCTATCTGGCAGATGCAAAAGAGAACAGAAAGATAGCCTCTTTTCTTAGCTCTCCTCGCTTCTTTAAAGGAATATATAAACTTGAGTGCATTTGTGTTTCTGCATTTAAGTATATGTGTGAATATAACTGCTCCCAGAGATGCTGCCCAAAATCATCCACTTAATAACCATTTGATGATGTGAGGATGTAACGAAGACCTCTCCTGTGTCTCTCATCAGATCTTTCTGAAAGCCAGAGCTCCCGGGAATGATCATAGAAGCCACTCCTAAAGGGAGCTTGATATAGAGGCAGCTTCCTGCAGAGGGCCAATCTAGTAGCTCAAGAATGGTAACAGCATTGTCCCCAAAGCCAACAGTGGGGGACTACAAAGGAGCTGCAGGTTCTGTGGTGAGCCCAGGGAAGTAGGCATGAGTCAGGAGGGTAAATAAGGCACTGCATGATGACAGGGCCATAGTCACACAAAAAATTACAGTTTACAGTTCTCTTTCTTTTCTCTTCTCCCTTCTTCATAGATACAGTACAGAATTTGGACTAGTTATTCGCCAATGCTCCTTCTGGTCCTGACATTCCATGAAATTTTAAACACCAATCTATCTAAACTAGTGCAGTTGGAAATATATAAAGGATGCTGGCAAAGCAAGGGCTATAAAGATGAGTATGGGGTTTCATGGACCTGTCACTACATTTTAAAAATCAAAACTTCTATATAAGTAAAAGACAATGATTTATTTGGCTAGAATTGTTTACCTTTGTCCACAAAATGCAGACAAAGATAACCTGGGGACCAGGGTAGGAGAGGTGTCAGCTTGCGAGGGCAGTGGGTCCACCTGTATTGTTGTTCATCATCTAGATTCGCTCTTTTGGATTCTCCCAGGTTGCTAGTTCTGTACTACCCCATAGGGTAAACATTCTTGGCTGGCTCATCCACCTATCTACCCACCTCCCACTGACAAAGCCCCATGGCAAAGTAGGTGCTGGCAACCAGGAAATGGCAGGAACTCAAAGATGGATTTATTCCAGTCTCTCAGTGAATTGAATTCTAGCCTAAGGGGGCATAAAATAAATTTACAAGTATCTAGAATGTCTAGATTGTAAAAGCCATGAGGAAACTGTGTAATAATGAGCTATGAGTGTCCAAGTTCTCAGAGATCATTCCAAAGTAAAACTTATAGGTGGTGCACAAGAGAACCATCTTGTTCAGGCCAACCTCAACAAAAGGTGTAGTCCATCACTACCACTCTTCTAACTCCAAATTGAACCCAGTGGACATCTATTGAATTGTCTGCCCTGCCTCCCCCAGGCCCGTGGGCACAGAAGGGGCATTTAGTTTCTGTACTCCACTCCCCCAGCTGCAGTGGATTGAGGCATGGGATAGACCTCTAACTCAGGGAATCTGAAAAAGGGAGAGTCAATTCAACCTTTGAGGTAACACTGTGACATGTTTCACTTGTGTGGGCATATTTCAGCAAGCAATCTGAGATGCAAACAAAGCAAACTAACAAATTGTCAGTGAGAGAGGAAACTGGAGCAGAAGTACAGAGGCCTGGCATCTGTCCTACAGATGGAGGTGGAAGGCTTCCTGGACTCCCCACACCATAAGCCAACCTGAGGTCCAGAGCTACATTGCTGTCCTAGGTTCGTCAATATGACACATCTAATTTCCTCCTAACAAATTCCCTGTTCTGTGGCTCTAGTCCAGCTGGTTTTGGTTATTTCTAACCAAGAGTGTTGACTGATACACATAGTCAACTGTGTATCAGGTGACTGATACACACAGCATGCAGCAGTGGCCTTGATACAGGCTGATCTACAATTTCATTTTCCCTGGTAACCCAATTAGTATGTCTTAAGGGCTTTTTATTTTTTATTTATTTTTATTTTTTGAGACAGAGTGTCACTCTGTTGCCTGGACTAGAGTGCCGTGGCATCAGCCTAGCTCACAGCAACCTCAAAGTCCTGGGCTCAAGCAATCCTTCTGCCTCAGCCTCCCAGGTAGCTGGGACTACAGGAATGCGCCACCATGCCTAGCTAACTTTTTCTCTCTATATTTTTAGTTGGCCAATTAATTTGTTTCTATTTTTAGTAGAGATGGGGTCTTGCTCTTGCTCAGGCTGGTTTCGAACTCCTGACCTTGAGCGAACCTCCTGCCTTGGCCTCTCAGAGTGCTAGGATTACAGGCCTGAGCCACCGCCCCCGGCCGGCTTTTTAAAGGGGGTCAGTGCATAGGTCTCCACTTAGTTGGGAAAAAACCTATTCTCCATGCTTCCCCCCCAAAGCTAAAGTGTTTAAAGCACTCTCACATATACTAATCTTAGCCAATTGTTATAAGAGTTCTATGATATAGAGAAGGTATTCTCATTTTAAAGATAAAAATACTGTGGCTCAGAGAAACAAAGTGTCTTGCTTAGCTTACATTGCTAGCAAGTGGCAGATTCAGGTCATGAATCCAGGTCTCCTGACTTTAGGTTCCACGGGGTGTGTGTGTGTTTAAACTACATAAAGGAGGCTGCCTCTCCATGGTGGAATTTCAGGCAATACTAACAGACTGGTACAGCAACATCTCCTAGCACCTCCTTCTCTAGTCACCCCAAGTATGAGATCAGCCTTCTTATTCCCACTTTAGGAACTGATTCTGCTTATGATACTTACTTAAGGGTCTCACTAGCATGTTAATTTTGAGCAAGTCAATTAAACTCTCTGCATTTGTTTCCTAATTTGTAAAATGAGAATAAAACTTTTAATAACTCTTAGTACTGCTGAGGAGATTAAATGAAATAATGAGGCTGGGTTTGGTGGCTCACACCTATAATCTCAGTACTTTGGGAAGCCAAGATGGGAGGATGGCTTGAGGCCAGGAGTTCAAGACCAGCTTGGGCAATGTAATGAAACGTTGTCTCTACAAAAGAAAATTAAAATAAAAAAAAATTTAGCTGGGCATGCTGGGGTGCGGCTATTGTCCCAGCTACTCAAGAGGCTAAGGTGGGAAGGTCTCATGAGCCCAGGAGTTCTAGGCTACAGTGCAATATGATTGTACCACTACACTCCAGCATGAGTGACAGAGGGAGACTCTATATCTAAAATAGTCAAGGAAAAAAAAAAAAGAATGAATGTGAAAATACCTTATTTTTTTGAACTATAAATCAATCTACCTAAGTGTTTATTATTTACCTTCACTTACAAATTTTGTGTAACACTGTGGTTTACAAAGCAATATAATTGTTCCAACTTATAATTTATGGTAAGATCAGGGGTGGCCAAGCAAGCAGGCTGTTTACAAAAAGCCATCTCCTAGATCTTTCCGCCACATGCCAAAATTTCATCATTGCAGCTTCATTTCTTTAAGTCATGACATTTTTCCATTTTCAAAACTATTAAAATATAAATACCTCTGTGAAGAGGCCAAACCATATACCCTATCAACTAATACTTCAAGGAAATTAAATTTAACAGTGACAACTCTAAGACAGGAGGGACTAGGGACCTCAGGTGAACTGAAAGGCTCAGAGATGATATAATTTTCTCAACCACTCCAATGAAGTCCTTTGAGATAAACCTACCCAGTGTGCATACCTGTTTTTGGCAGTGATGTATGACAAGATATTTTGATTGAAGAACTTCAGGATCAAAGGGATGCAGTTGGCAAATACCAAATGTTGTGATACGTATTCAAACTGAATTAAAAGATCAAAGCAGAAAAGGGGGAGAATAGAAGGTATACATGAAAAAAAGGAAAGTACAAATCTAATTTCCATGAATTCCTAAGAATATCCACTGTCCACTTGTGTTATCAGTCTTCCTGTCTGGGAAATGGGGAGATTTATCCTCAGCCAGTCCCTCCTATAAGGAGGCAGACAATCTGCAGTATGCTGCAAACTCCCGACTAAAGCACAAAACAAGCAAGCCAGAAAGAAAATCCCAGTTCAATAAATAGAATGAATTACTGTGAGATTTGTTCCTAAGCCCAACAGGAAAGGAAGGCTCCCTAAGGAAACTGTTTTCCATACCAAACCTCTGGCTCATAATGTTGCAAATGTGATTGATATAGCAGGGACAGGTGCAGCTTACTCCTGGCAACTGTAGCATCATTCAGTCAGGACAGGGACAGCATACAGTAACCAAATGAACCACTGGAATGTGGGCTCCAGCTGGAGTCTGTCTGGTATACCATATTAGCCCTAGTACTTAGAATATCAGTAAGTATTTTTTTTTTTTTTTTTTTTTGAGACAGAGTCTCGCTTTGTTGTCCAGGCTAGAGTGAGTGCCGTGGCGTCAGCCTAGCTCACAGCAACCTCAAACTCCTGGGCTCAAGCGATCCTCCAGCCTCAGCCTCCCGAGTAGCTGGGACTACAGGCATGCGCCACCATGCCCGGCTAATTTTTTTATATATATATCAGTTGGCCAATTAATTTCTTTCTATTTATAGTAGAGACGGGGTCTCACTCAGGCTGGTTTTGAACTCCTGACCTTGAGCAATCCGCCCGCCTCGGCCTCCCAAGAGCTAGGATTACAGGCGTGAGCCACAGCGCCCGGCCTTAAGTATTTTAATAAACGAATGAGTAAGAGCCCTTCAGCCAACAGACATCACACTGAGAAGAAGTCCAAGATGTCTTTGATGGGCTATACAGCAGTACATGGGGGCTCCATTTTGCTCTCTTGAATCCAGATGGGGTATGTATATAGGAAGACCTAATGGGGCAGATGGTCACAGAGCTGTGTCATGGGGTTACGTTAACCATGATAGACTGAGGAGTACCAAACACAGTTTGTTTTCAGATCCAGAATCTTGTATGCTGGGACAGTACAGAAAAGGAGTTGAAAAAACAGAGAATGGTGGTGTTTTCCATACCTAGCTCTTTCTGATCACCAAGAAGTAGCCAAGGCAGCAAACAAAGCTACCCTCTGCCCCTAGGTATATAGTTAAAGGTGGGGAGTCAGCTTGCGCCAAGACTACTTCCCTCTTCTGCTCATTAATTTCTCCCCAGAAGTCAATCCAAGGTATTTTCCAAAGCCCCAGAGAGAACAGCCAACACATACCCACTATCAACTGATGGAAAACCTTTTTCAGTTTGAGATGTGCCTGTGGCCCTATCAGGATTCACTGACACACACTGGCAAGGCCTATCAAGCCACCCATCTTTCTGGTTATCAATCCATATACTGCCTACCAAGGGAAGCAGAAGTAACACACATTCACAGCTCTCTATTCTTTCTCCACCAGAAACACTATCCCCTACCCACCTCTACCCTCCCAGCCCTGCTGCTGTTCAGCAAACATCAGAAGAAGTGTGAGCACCCAGGACACCCTAACACACCCAAAGATGTCTTTGAATGTACTGAAGTGTTCAATGCTGTGTGTGGAAATTAAACAAACGAACAAAATGAGTATACCAAAGTGGAGAAATACCCTGGTTGTTAGGCCCACACACAGACTTTGCAGGAGCCTCCCTGCACCCTGAGGACCTTCTCTTCTACCAGCAAGCTTGATTCTGACTTCTTAGGAAGAAAATGGGATGGAGCTTCTAGGCGGGAATGAAAAGCCTTCCTCTTCTCCCTATGGTCTCCCCATAGACGGGAAGCATCCATTCACTGCCCCCATCTTGTCCCTATACCTTGGCAAAGCCCATAGAACCAAGTCCAAACTCCTTAGCATGGCAAGCAATGCTTTCATGGGAAAACAGGTTCTTAGTCTTTTTTAGCTTTGGTTTCCTCATTTATAAAACAGGCATTGAATAAGACTATTTTATAGGGTTGACCGAATTAAATGAATCCCCACCCAAGCTTAACAGGGTGCCAGGCACATTATAGGTACTCAATAATCATGTGCTGCCATACATATTATAATCTGTTCCCTGCCAACCCTTCCAGCTTCATGTGTCACCAGGCAATCCCCATCTTTTCCTACCAAAGGCAGAACTCCAGCAACATTTAATTGCTGTTTCCAAAAGTACTTTGCTCTCTCACTTCTGGACTTTTGCATATTAGCTTTTCTGCTTGAAAAGCTTCCTGTCTTCCTTCTCTAACAACTCCCATATCCTGGCTAACATCTGTTTCTTTAGGATTCTGGTTAGAAGTTACCCCTTCTCCACCCCAAGTTGGATTAGGTATTTCCATAGCAGCCAATGCTTATCTGTATCACAGCACTTATCACTCTATAATTGGCCATTTATATGTCTGTATCCTTTAGAAGACTTCAAGGTTCTTATGAGCCAGAACTGTGCCTTATTCACAATTATATCTCAAATGTCAGAAAAGTGCTTCACATATAGAAAAGTACGGTCAACATACTTTTCTCCCCTTTTTGTGAAATGTTTGAATTCTGTCTTGTACTGTTTCAAAACTGGCTAGGCATTATACGAAGAAGCTAGAGATTCCTATCCACAACCCTGGGATAAGGATACATACATCTATACCTCTTTAGGACAGTTACTCACTATCCACTCCAAACCCCTACCCTAAGGAAATGCAACAGGTAGCTGGATCCCCTGAATGAGGACAAAAGGCTAAAAGATGCTACAAGGGCCCTTGCATCCCTACTTTGGGAGATAGGGCCTAGAAAACACCTAAGATCTGTGGAGAAGCTTTCCTGGATGCTCACCTGGTAAATATGGTTAAGTTTGAAGTGTTTGAGGAGTAGCAGGAGCAGGGCGGAGATACTTTTTACAATGATCTCCTTGTGCCTGTTCACATCGATGCCTAGCTTCATGCTCTGAAGAACAGTGATGCTACAATGGAGAGAGGAGACATCAATGCAGAGAGTGGCCTTAGAGGCAGGCCTACAAGAACCAAGTATTTGGGTCTAATACAATATATACAAGAGAACCAGAACTTGGGAAAATTGAAATTCTGTGCTAGGGAAACCTCCAAGAGTTCCCAATTACGAGCCTGTCTGGGGTAAGCTCCACTGATCTGTTTCTGTCTCTCTCCTTTGGCAAGCTCCCATTGGCAATATCCACCCACATACCTGGGCAGTCAGTTATTAGCAGTAGCATTACCCTCCAGACCCTTAGTTCTGAGCTAAAAAAAGAGCACAGCAGAGAGCCATTCAGGAGAGAGGGGGTACTGGTGGTGGAGGGGAGATATCTTTGGAGATAATTCCTGTAAATGTTAAGGTGGGGTAGGGATTAGAGAGACCCTGCAGACAAAATAGCTAGTATCTAGCAGCTGTCCCAGTTGAAGCACTCACGGCATCTCCTCAGGCAGGACATCTGCCAGGATGTTGATAGAGTCTGTCTTAGCCTTGGAAGTGGGAGCTGCAGCCAAAAGAATCTTAAGCAGAGCAATCTGGGAAGTAGAAAATGAGGAAATTCATCCCTCTTCATCCTACTCAGGGAGTGATTCTTCAACACCTCAACAGCCCTATGAAAATTATTTTAAAGGCTTTCTCTAATTTCTTCCCTCAATGACCAAATCTCCTAAGCATCCAGAAGGATAAATGGGTGCCCAGTCCTGAGAGGCCTGCCTGTGAGGCTAAGGAGGGAGCCATGGGGAGTTCTCCTAGGTTGCTCTAAGTCTGCTCTTTCCAAGGGGAAGGATGGAAGGAGCAAAGTAGGAAGGACAGTGCATAGAAATAAGGTAGGAGGTATAAGCTCAACTCCTCCTACTCATTTCCTTCCCAGACCATTGGCATCCTCCCCAGTCTCAGCCTGAGGCTATCTAGGACATGACAGACAGCAGCAGATCTCAGAGGGACTACGGTACTTATCTAAGAGGACGGTTCCCAATGTATCCTATAAATCCTAAAATGTATCCTCAACAGCCCTATGAAAATTGTTTTAAAGGCTTTCCCTAATTTCTTCCCTCAATGACCAAATCTCCCCAGCATCCAGAAGGACAAATGGGTGCCCAGTCCTGAGAGGCCTGCCCGTGAGAATAAGGAGGGAGCCATGGGGAACTCACTCTTAGGCTGCTCTAAGCTTATTTTCCACCCCTCCCAAAGAAGGACTAGGGAGAACAGCACCTTCAGAGGAGCCCTGAAGAAAGCTCAGAATTTTCATATGTCAGAGAATGCCTTGCTAAATGGGCGAAGGCTCAGGAAATAAGCTCAAATGACGTGAAGCTCAGCTTGAGACTGCTTTTAACTGTATATTGCTTGCAGTAGAGAAGGGCAGCTCTGGCCTGGCTGTCTCCTTACCATGTACTGAGGGAGGCTATACAGCATGCCCTGGTAGAGGATTTCACATGGTGTCTCTGGTACCACCTCTTCTCCCTATGGCAGGAAATACAGTTTGTTCAGGCTACTTTCCAAGTGACCAAAGGCTACATTTTCTTGGTTGTGAGGGATGGCATGAAAAGAGCACTAAGCTGGATAGATGTAGGTTCCTAGCCTAGCTGTGTTAATGACTCACTGTATGACCTTGGATAAGTCACCTTCCTTCTCTGAGTCCTAATTTCCTCTTCAATAGGATCAGCGGGCTGGTCTGGATGACCTCTCAGGGTTCAGGACACTGGAATAGACACCCCACACAAAAAGACTTCCCATGGTGTCAATCTGAGGCCAACTGAGAGCTCTGGAATGCTCTGTAAGCCTGGAAGGAGAGGTGGGTGGCTCAAAAATAGTAGGGGTTAATAAGGAAGCTGGGTAACCTATAGCTTGGAGAGATAGGAAGGAACATTAGCAGGGAAGCTTTTAGGTGGATGGAAAGTTTTCTTCCCCTCTGCATTAGTCCCCACGACATTACTTTCTCCTTTTTGACCAGCCCCCTCATGCAACCATCTCTGTCCTTTTTTTTTTTTTTTTTTTTTTTTTTTTTTTTTGAGACAGAGTCTCGCTTTGTTGTCCAGGCTAGAGTGAGTGCCGTGGCGTCGCCTAGCTCACAGCACCTATCCTTGGGCTGCAGTGATCCTTCTGCCTCAGCCTCCCGAGTAGCTGGGACTACAGGCATGCGCCACTCATGCCGGCTAATATTTTTATATATATATCAGTTGCCAATTAATTTTTCTATTTATAGTAGAGACGGGGTCTCGCTCTTGCTCACGGCTGGTTTTGAACTCCTGACCTTGAGCAATCCACCCGCCTCGGCCTCCCAAGAGCTAGGATTACAGGCGTGAGCCACAGCGCCCGGCCTATCTCTGTCCTTTTGATGACCCCAGCTAAGCCTTTTTTTTTTTTTTACAGAGTCTCGCTTTCTTGCCGAGGCTAGAATGAGTGCCATGGTGTCAGCCTAGCTCACACGCAACCTCAAATCCTGGCTCAAGCAATCTCCTGCCTCAGCTTCCCGAGTAGCTGGATCACAGCATGAGCCACCATGCCCGGCTGATTTTTATATTATAATATATTAGTTGGCAATTAATTTCTTTCTATTTTTATGGTAGAGACGGGGTCTCGCTCAGGCTGGTTTCGAACTCCTGACCTTGAGCAATCCGCCCGCCTCGGCCTCCCAGAGTGCTAGGATTACAGGCGTGAGCCACTGCGCCCGGCCCCAACTAAGCCTTTTGTCAGAGTGGGGAGGCAGGGTCCTCAGATGCTCAAAAGGCTTCTGTGGCCACTGTCATCTTTGATCAATGCAGTCTCATTCCTCTCCCAACATCCCTCTATTACAGGACAAGGATCACTGTCATGAGACTCCAAAGTAGGAAAGAATAACCAGGCTTCTTCCATCCCACATAACTCAGCTGCTACTTAAATGGACACAAGTTTATTTATTAATTTATTTATTTGAAACAGAGTCTCACTTTGTTGCCCAGGCTAGAATGAGTGTCGTGGCGTCAGCTTTGCTCACAGCAACCTCAAACTCCTGGGCTCAAGCCATCCTCCTGTCTCAGCCTCCAAAGTAGCTGGGACTACAGGCATGTGCCACCATGCCCAGCTAATTTTTTCCATATATATTTTTAGTTGGCCAATTAATTTCTTTCTATTTATAATAGAGACGGGGTCTCGCTCTTTCTCAGGCTGGTTTCGAACTCCTGACTTTGAGCAATCCACCCACCTTGGCCTCCCAGAGTGCTAGGATTACAGGCATGAGCCATGTGCCCGACCTTGGACACAAGTCTTAGATGGACATTCAACAGAGCCTGGGAATACTGGCATGTTTCCCTTCCTGTTCTCCGAAAGGCCTATTTCATATCTTCCCTCTCCTCAAACAAAGCCCTCTACCCCACGACCCCTACACAGTTGCTGATCCCACCTCACATTTCATGGAGAAAACAGAAGCAACCAGACAGACACACTCTCATTTGCTCAACACCTATCAACCAAAAAGTCTTTGCCTTCCTTCTTGACATGAAGGATGAACCATCTGTGCTTCTAACAAAGGCCAATCTTTCACTAGTGCTCAGGATCCTACACCCATTCACTTTGTTGAATGCCTCAGTCCTACAATTATCCTCTTCCCTGGATCATTTCTTTTAGGACAAAAACATAGTCTAGTATCTCTAGCTATAAAACACCCTTCCTTGACCCCACATCCTCTGTCAGCTATAAAATCATTCCATTTCTTTCCTCTTCATCACAAAATTTTTATGTTGTCTACCTCCTTTTTTGACATCCCCTTCAATGCTCTCCAATTAGGCTTTCAGCCCCACTGCTTCACTGGGGGTTGCTTTTATCAAGGTCACTAGTTATCTTCATGTTGCCAAATCCAGTGGGTACCTCAGTTCTTATCACAGGTTATCAGCAGAATTTGACCTAGTGGATCACTTCCCTCTTCTTGAAAGACTTTCTTTTCTTAGCTTTTATGATATCATAATCTCGTGGTTTTCCTGCAACCTCACTGTTTTTCTTACTCTTCTTTTCTGATTCCTCTTCTTTCCTGACTCAGCCCTCCTTTAACATACTAGTGTGCCACAGAGCTTTGTCCTGGTTTCCATCCTCTTCTCTGTCTCCACTCCCTCCTTGGGTTATCTCAGCCAGTTCTATGGCTTTTGATACTGTCAAGTTTATTTCTCAAAGCCAGCACTCTCTCTAGAGCTCTGGACCGGTATATCTGATTGCCTGAAGTTCCACATGGGTCTCTATAATGGGCATCTAAACTTTGTATGACCAAAACGGAATGCCTGATACTCCGCCTCATGTTGGCAAATGATTATTATTCTTCATTCTTCTCTTTGCCTCTCTATCCACATCCAACTGAACTGCAAGTCTAGACAGCTATTCCTCTAAAATGTAAACCAAACGCATCTACTTTTCACTATCTTTACCTATTCCAGGTCAGCATCATCTTTTACCTTGACTATTTTAAGAGCTTCCTAATCTCCCTGCTTCCACTCTTTCTAGGTCCAGTCTTTACACCGAAGCCAGTGTTTTAAAAACATAAATCAGGTCAGGTGTGGTGGCTCCTGCCTGTAATCCTAGCACTCTAGGAGTCCAAGGCGGAAGGATTGCAAAAGCTCAGGAGTTTGAGACCAGCATGAGCAAGAGCAAGACCCTGTCTTTACTATAAATAGAAAGAAATTAGCCAAACAACTAAAAATAGAAAAAATTAGCCGGGCACGGTGGCACATGCCTCTAGTTCCAGCTACCCAGGAGGCTGAGGCAGGAGGATCGCTGGAGCCCAGGAGTTTTGAGGTTGCTGTGAATTAGGCTGATGCCACAGCACTGCAGCTCAGGCTAGAAAGTGAGACTCTGTTTCGAAAACAAACAAACCAATCAACTATAAATCAGATATCACTTCCCTGCTTAAAATCTCCAAAAGCTTCCCTTTGTACTGGGAATCAACTTCAAGCTCTCTAGCTTTGCTTACAGGTCCTCTGTAAAGTGGCCCTGGGTCACCTCTCTGACTCTATCTCTAGGACCCCAGCCCTCATCCCTGTATGCTGGCCACACCAGTCTTTTTTTTTTTTTTTACTACTTCCAACACTCTGGGACTGAGGAGAGGCATGCTGTCCCTTTGTTAAGGCTGTTCTCTTCACTTGGAATGCTCTTTCCCTGGATGTTCCTATGGCTGGCTCCATGTACCTCAGATCTTGGCTTAAATGTCAATCTTCTCAGAGTCAACCTACCTGACTGCCCAATCTCAAGTAGTCTACTGATACTTCTATCATGTCACCCTATTTAAATTTTCTTTGCTGTTATTTACCATTCTCTGATAGTCTTCTTTACTTTTTTGATTTTTTTATACCATGAAAGCAGGGACCTTGTCTTGCTTGGGACACAGTAAGAGCCCAATAAGCTGAATGAATACATGTGATAGCACTGCAGACAGACTTTCTTCTGCCCTCCTCCTGTGCAGGACCCTCTTGACTCACCAAAGACATGGGGCACTTCTCCAACTCTTCTTCATTCTTGATCTGCACATCTGCGATGGAGATATACTTGTGCTGGTGAAGACAAAAAAGACATCACTAAGGGCTGAGGGGCTCAATCACATGTGTACCAGTCTTTTACTTAACTTCCCCAACAAAAAGGAAATGTTCTGCTTATGGGTCACACTAAATAGACATAAACTCTTTGAAGGTAGGAGTCTTAGTCACCTCTGCATCATCAGCACTGGTCAAAGTGCTTCACACATAGTGTTTCCATATTTGTTGAAAAGCAGCAAATACTTAAGCATTTGCCTTCAAACAAAGTGCAAGGGAAAGCCAAGAATAGGCCCTGACCCTGGGCCACTGCCCTGAGAGTTTTGTTGTGTGTGCATGAATGCATGAAGTGATGACTCCATACACTTTGTGCTTATACATATAATGGATGTAGAGCAGACTCCTACTCAATCCTGGGCCTTTGGAAGTTAGTGGACCTATGGGCAAAGATAAGTGAATGGAAAGGAAGCAAGGAGTGGGGAGAGAGAGAGAAAGATGGAAAGAGGGAAAAGGAATGAGAACAAGAAAGGAGAACTTTTTTATCCATCTAAACCTAGGAAACTGGGTAAGTAAGAAGAGACCTGATTTTTCCTGTTTGGCCAAAATGCCTGCAGGAGAAATGCATAAGGTCCAGAAAGCATCTGGTATAAGAGCCCCACTCAGTATTCAGGATCCTGGTAATGTGACTTGCCTTGATGGCTCCCTACCCCTGAAGACTGAGAGCCCACTCTGGTCACCTGCTTTAAGGTCTTCACACTCTCATGGATGGGCCTGGGCAATCCAACCAAGGTATCTGTGTCCCTGTGAAAAGCCAGACACACCAGATTGTAAGCTTCAAAAGTACAGAGAACACTGATACCTTTTGGAGTCACAGGGACCATGCCACTTTCAACATCTACCCCCAGCACCCTGGACCTTCCTCTGCAAGCTCCCAGGCTCCCATTATTGCTTCAGGACACAAAAAGAACAATGGCACATAGAAGTGTTCCTGAAAATTAAGAGATTTGTATAGTCTCTTGGGGAGTCTTCTTGGTGTGGGAGTGGTATGTTCCTACTTAAAAGGGTATATAGCCCAACAACACTTTTGAAAGTGAAAGTCCAGTAATAAATAAAGCCTTCTCTATTTTGAAGAGGCCAGTGGGAAGGATTCACATGGGTGAGGAAATGGGGGAAGGTTGGATCTGTTCTGACCATGTCTCTTCTTCACAGAATTTTAGCAGAATTTTGCATTAGAGCAGGAAGGGTCCCTAGGGACCATCTAATCCAAAACTCTCATGACTAAATTAAGGCCCAAGAGGGATATAACCTGTTGTTTAAGATCCTGCACCTGGTTAAGAACACAAACATTCTTTGAGGAAAGTGGAAGAAACCCAATGAAAAAAATTCATGTAAAGCACCCAAAGTAGTCACTGAGAGTTGCCCACAGCCTGGTAGCTCTAGGTTGCATTATGACTACCAGGCAACATCCCTCATTCCAAGCCACCTGCTCCTCTGGATCCCAAGGAACCACTCTATAGCCAGTTCTACCATTTAGTCACTTACTGCCCCAAGGTGAATCCGATGAATTTGTTCCTGCTCATCTCCAAGAAGTGCTCAATGTCCTTCTGCCTGAGAGGATGGTGGACAGACCAATCCCAGAGAAGGAAAGAAAAGCAAACCTTGAGAGAGAGAACTTTTCTGGGCTCCTACCCCTCCAATAGGAGGACTGGAGCAGTTGGGGACGATAGCTGTCAACAGAGGGAATTTCAAACCCAGGAGTTCTGACTGCCAAACCAGCTTAATGAGTCTTGAATATATAGACTAGTCTACCCTGGGTCTTCAGTGATTCAACCCCAAAGAGCATAGTCCCTGCTGCTATTAAACCTACCTGACCTTTGGGGCCCAAGGTAGGCCCTTGGGAAAGGCCACCCGCTCAGCAGAGAGGGGTGCCTGTGAGGGTGGAGGTGGCACCAGAGGGTCCTGCTCTAGCAGGTCCAACTCTCCATCCAAGGTTCGTTCTCCATCACCAGCAGATTCCTCTTCCTCCTCTGTGGCTGGCTCCTCAGTTTTGAAGAGATCCCTTTCATTGTAGATGTCCAGGCTGTCCTGCTTAGTGAGGAGTTGCTGGAGGGAGGAAGCAGGGAGGGGAGATGTGCAGAGATCTCACCCTGGGCATCCTTGTCTGAGGCTGCTGCTACCCACAGGCTTCCAGACTTCAGGGAGCATGGAGTCAGAACCCAGCCCTTGTGAGAACATCCCATTCCTCACCTCAGTCCTACTGCCACCATCAGGCCCAATACCAGGACAAGTAGTTCTCAGGCAACCATGCCAATGGCCAGGGAACAGAGTATAGATAATCCCAAAGTCATAGTCACTTAGTTTTCAGAAAGCACTGATGCCTTTTTTTGCCAGCACTTTCTTTCTTAATTATGCTCTGCTTAGGTGAACATTCAATTAGTTTGCCTTCTGTGAGCATACACCAGCTGGCTGACTGAGGAAGAGGAGGACAGAAGCTTGCTGCCAGGCAGAGGGAAGCAAGTTTGGAATTTTAAATCTTGTCACAGAAAGAAAAAAAGATTGGACAGAAATAGGCCAAAAAGTTAACAGTGACTGCTTCTGGTTGTTAAGATTGTGGGTGATTTTTCTTTTCTCCCTTCATCACATTTTTATATTTGGCCCAAATTTTCTACAATGAGTAAGCATTACTTTCTAAAACAAAAAAATAAAGGTTAAAAAAATCACATTGCAGACAATGTAGACTGGATTACTGAGCACAACTGTCTGGCCCTGTTGATGAACTAAAGTAGGTCAGGCAGGTGAGTTTGTAGGAGTGTGGTAAGGTCTCAGAGTAACTTGTAATTCTGACCTTTTCAGGACTGCAGACTACAATCATGTGCTGCATAATGATGCATCCATCAACAATGGACTGCATATATCATGGTAGACCCATAAGATTTTAATACTGTACCTTATCTAGGTTTATATTTTATTTTTATTTTATTTTTTTGAGACAGAGTCTAGCTTTGTTGCCCAGGCTAGAGTGAGTGCTGTGGCGTCGGCCTAGCTCACAGCAACCTCAAACTCCTAGGCTCAAGCAATCCTTCTGCCTTAGCCTCCCGAGTAGCTGGGACTACAGGCATGCACCACCATGCCCGGCTAATTTTTTCTATATATATTAGTTGGCCAATTAATTTCTTTCTATTTATAGTAGAGACAGGGTCTCGCTCTTGCTCAGGCTGGTTTCGAACTCCTGACCTCGAGCAATCCACCCGCCTCGGCCTCCCAGAGTGCTAGGATTACAGGCGTGAGCCACCATGCCCTGCCCTTATCTAGGTTTAGATACACAAATACCACTGGGTCACAGTTGCATATAGTACAGTGACCTGCTGTACAGGTTTGCAGCCTAGGAACAATAGGCTATATGCCTACGTATGCAGTAGGCTCTACCTCCTGGGTTTGTATAAGTACACTCTATGATGTTTTCAGTGATTAAATCACATAATGACACATATCTCAGAATGTGTCCCTGTTGTTAAGCAACACATGAATGTATACCTAGAACCGTAACCAGTCTCTCTCAAATTGTAAGCCTTTCATTCCATGGCCAGACAAAAGTGTGGCTAGCTCAGAGTTAACCTTCTTGCTGCCACAAATGTAAGCCTTTCATTCCATGGCCAGACAAGAGTGTGGCTAGCTCAGAGTTAACCTTCTTGCTGCCACAAAAAAGGTAAAGTGCCTCATCCCAGGCACACAGATTTGCTGGGAGCCCCATTCAGGTGCCCTGGTACTTGATCATCCTGTCTCCAGGATTATACCTGTTGTTATACTGTTGTTTAGAATGCTAAGGAACTCTGGGCACTGATGTCTATGCCAAGGTAGCAAGGCATGGCTGTATGATCTGATATCACAGCATTACATCAGGACAGCTCGGGGCCTGACAGGACTGGAGGAAGGGCCAAAGTATAAACTGTAAGGTTTCAGGTTGTTCACAGGGCCAACTTGGGGCAGGGTGAGCCACATCATTTGCTGCCCTTTTCCTACCACACCCAGAATAACTTAAAATCTCAATTTTTGGCTAGTCAGTGTCATGACACTACCATTTACTTTAGTACATACCCTTCGAGAACCACGGCGGCCTCGCAGCTTGGAGGGTGGTGGCGCCAGCTGAGATTCCCCCAGGTCGAGAGTGTAAGAGGGTGGGGAGGCAGCACGCATGCTCTTCACCACCTGGATACTGTCCTCAGCCAGTGGAGGCAGGCCCAATTCTGCCCGCTTCTGTATTTTGAGAGCCTGCAGATGCTCAAATCCACCAAGGGTAAACTAAGGAGGAAACAGGAAAGGGGCAGAGAAGAAAGAGGAAGGCAGGAAAGTCAGAGAGAGTAAATTGAGGGAAATATAAATGAAAGAAAGAGCCATAACCTCTAGTCCCCTCAGATCTTCTCCTTAATAAGGAAGGGGTAAATGTCGTTGCCGACCCCAGTCTTAGGAACTTAGGGGTCTGGATAAAGCATTATTTACTGACCCAGACTGGGAAACATCACCAGAAGTTAGAAAAGGGACTCCTTAGGGCCTGTGCTGAAAAAATAGGAAACTATCTCCCTTTTCAAGGAGCATATCCAGATGCTATAAACACCAGAGTCACTCAATTGCTTCTGCAGTCAAGAGGCAGTTCTCCCTATGAACTTTGCCTGGAGTGTATGTTTTCAGCCAGCCTTGTGGGATGGGAGCCAGAGATGAAGGATCAGATTGAATAGTTAGTATTAAAACTATAACCGTATACTTATAAGGACTTCATTTTTTTAAAAAAGCAAATCCTCTATTTATCTGGAAGGAGGACAGACACTAACCCCAGCATTTTACAGCAAGAGAAACTGAGGCACAGTTGCCCAAAGTTCCACAGTATCAGCAGAACCCAGATCTCCCAACTTTCAACCAGTGTTCTTTCCCAGAAACACTGGCTCTATCAGCAGAAGGGTGCCACTGACACCCCAACTCATGGAGTATTATCTCCCATCCATTCAGTAGAAAGGGGAAATATGCCCTGGCACAGAACACCTGATGCCTCTAGGACAGACTTGTTACTTCTCCCCATTAGCTGTTGGCTAATGGCTAGCCTATTCTGCTGCCTAGCTCCAGCCTCCTGAAATCAGACTAGAAGAAACTGATGTGGCACAGGGCATTGCTGCTCTGATGAGATGGAATTGGAGAGGATCAGCCACTCACCATAACCACCTTCCAGAGCAGGAGCAGGACCTTCTTTATAGGGAAGTGGGGAGCCAGGCCACTGCAGAACTTGGTAACCATGGAGAAGAGCAGAAGGGCAAAAGGCTCCTCATTGTGCATGGAGAAGCCTGGGGATGTGGAGAGAGGCGAGTGAGAAAGTGAGGACGAGGCAGCTAAACCCTGCCCCTGTAATCCTGATTCTGGGCACCCTGAGGAAGGCACTCACCTCCGCTGAAGAATTCCAGAGTACTTGGTCCTGAGAGGGAGGCTTACAAAGCCCCAGAGAGAAGCCTCTCAAGAAAGGGAGACCCCTCATGGCAGAAAGGGAGGCCATGGTAAAATGGCTTAGAAGTAATAGTAATGAAGATGTTGCTTTCTGGCTGAACGACCCAATACATTTCACTTTCCCACATCAATGACATATTTTTAAAATCCTATAGGCCTTCATATCCTATCCCTGTCAAATGACACCAGCTTATGTTTGAACAGAATTCAGTTTTCAAGGTGATTCAGCTCATTTTTTCATGTGGGATTCATGATGGAATGGAAGAGAGGTGGCCATCCCCATTTACAACCAAGGAAACCCAGGCACAGAGTTATATGGCTAGTCCTAGCTCACAGATAAGGGGAGCAATCAAGCCTGGCCCTCATGCCTGCCATGCAGTATCTCTGTCCTAAAAGAATGTTAATTAAAAAAAAAGAAAAAGGACAGTTTGCCTCTCCTAGGCAGATGCTCTGTTTCCCCTCCACTATCAGCACCCTATCCCTACCTTCCTCAAGTGCCGTTTCTTACTCAATTCAGTGCGGAAGGTCTCCCGGGCTGTCCTCCACCCGCAGGGGTCTGTCTCTCGCTCCAGGCGGATGTTTTCCACAATTAGGTACATGACACTCAGCAGCACTCTGGGGTTACAGAAGGGTCACAAGAGGTTCCCAAGGGAGTTACCAGCCCACAGTCAGAGACCTCAGGAATGGTCTCTTTGGGAGCCCAAACCAGTGAGATTAGCTAGAGGGCAACTGCCTAGTGGTCTGAGTCGTCTGAGATATGGGAAAAGGGTAACCTAGTCCTAATAATCCCGCAGTTCCAAGCCCATATACAGCCCCACTCACCGGAGCTCTGTGCTGTCGGCAATGGAAACAGCTGGTTTCCGAAGGGCGCTGCTACAGGCCTGGCTGTTGCTGCCGTGGTGGGGTAGAGTGGGGAGAGGGAGAGAATGGGAACCCATAAGGCCTCTTTCCTTTCTGTGCTCTCACTTATCTGCACATAAACATGAGTATCTGTCCCTGGCTATGTAGCTACTAACGAAACTTATCTAAGATAAAGGAGCCCACAACAAACCCTCATCTGTGGTGAAGACAGGCAAGGGCAGGGTCTGTGGTATCCACTCCTCTTGCAATCCCCACAATACTTAGTACTGTATGGGATAAAAAACAGATGCTAAGCAATACTTGATGAATAATAAGCAGATTTTACCCTATCTAAAACTCCTGGGTGACGGGCATGAGACAGAATGAGGGGTCACTATAGCAGTATCAGCTGATCAGGCCATCTTTAGAGCTATAATCCATGAGAGAAAGAATTAGGCACTATGACAGGATTTGGTCCTGTTCTTCTTGTGTCATGCTCTTAGGTAGAACAGTTTCCCTCATGAATTCCAGAGTTAAGCTTAGAATGAGCTTAGAATGTGCTTGAATAAAAAGTGAACCCATCCAAGACAGGCCCCTGAAGCCCAGGATTGAGGCTCTAAGTGGGGCAGAAACTTGCTGCTGAGCCCAACCTCAGGGAGGGAGAACAGAAGATCAGGGGACATGGCCAGATGGAGAGGAACCATCAACAAGCTTTGGGCTGAGGTGTGAGTAGACCCAGCTCCCCACAGGGTCTTTATAGTGAGGGAACCAGCACAGAACACGAGACCCTTTCAAGGAAGGGGGTTGTCTAGGCCAACTCTCCCCTAAGGTTTCTCACTCAATTTCCATGTGGAGTAGCTCCAGGAAGGCCGAGAAGGTCCCCATCTGATACAGCAAGAAGCAGTTGTATCTGGACCAGTGTAGCACATCGACCTCTGAATCACATTCCCCAAAAGTGCCTAAAAGGACCAGACAGTTACCATAGGGGTTGAGGGGGAGTGATATCTCAGTTCTTTCCACCCTGCCCCATGATCTTAAGACTTTTCTGTAACACCCTGCCCAATAATTAGGCTGACAGATATATGGCAGCCCTCAAGAACTTCCTGGAATGAGTCAGGGGAGAGGAGAGGCAGTCTCCAGAGTTAAGTCTAATGTACTCATCAATGGTCTGTCTTAAGTGTAGGATCGCCCAGAAGCAGATCTTTAAATAAGTAAGGATCCAAGTGCAAGTAGTTTATTTGGGAATTGATCCCAGGAATCACTAGTAGAGAAGTAGGAAAAGGAGATAGGGAAGAAAAGGTAGCCAATAGAGTTTTATCTTATGGGAAGCTCTGAAACAGTATAAAACATAAATCTCAGAGTTATCCCATGCAAGGGAGGTGAGATAGTTGGGCTATCCATTCACTAACTCCTGCCAGTCACTGGATGAGGGGTGCTAAACTAGAGGAGCACATTAATTACCTACATTTCCTGGCTTCCCTGTGTGGGCTGCAAACCTTGGGGAAAAAAAAGGTACTGGCAGTTGGAAGTTGGCCAGAGCACCAGACCCAGCAGGTATGGGTGGGTACTGCCTTATTGGCTACAGTTTTACCTTCACCCAATGTCCACATTGTTTCCTCTCCATTTATTTTTTTTCTTTTACAATTTTTTTTAGTTCTCAACTAGATGGCTCTGACAACCATCCTTATATTTATGATCTCAGGGCTTATTTTCACTATGCCAGCTAGGCCATCTCATTTCCCTTTCTGCATCTGGCTAACAGGTTTCTTCTGGGAAGCTTTCCCCAATTAATCTCATTTAATTGTGATCATCTCCAAATTAGTCACAGCAACTACTCCTGCTGCTATTTTGGCTTGAACCTTCAAAATGCCAACAAGAAACAACACAGAGGGTCCATGTGTGAGTCTGTAACACTCCTCCATATCTCCTCAGCTTGGGGGGCAGGCCACAGCTGATGAAAGAAGTCTCTATCCTCAGCTGGTAGACATGGTTAGCTCTGGCCACATTGACCTCCTTACTAGTTTTCACATATGATTATAGCTCAGATTAGGTAAAAAAAGAACACTATAAAAAATCCTGCCAGGCCGGGCGTGGTGGCTCACACCTGGAATCCTAGCTCTCTGGGAGGCCGAGGCGGGCAGATTGCTCAAGGTCAGGAGTTCAAAACCAGCCTGAGCAAGAGCGAGACCCCGTCTCTACTATAAATAGAAAGAAATTAATTGGCCAACTAATATATATAGAAAAAAATTAGCCGGGCATGGTGGTACATGCCTGTAGTCCCAGCTACACAGGAGGCTGAGGCAGAAGGATTGCTTGAGCCCAGGAGTTTGAGGTTGCTGTGAGCTAGGCTGACGCCACAGCACTCACTCTAGCTTGGGCAACAAAGTGAAACTCTGTCTAAAAAAAAAAAAAAAAAAATCCTGCCATGCCTGGTAAGATAAAGGCAGATCCCAAGGGATCCAGAATAGCACTCAACACCATCTCCTCATCTTCCTCATAAGCACAGGTTACTCCAGCACCTGATAAGTTCTGTCCTTGAGAGACAAGGAACTTTGCCTTCCCCACATAGGCTGCCTCAACCCAGTCCTGATAATGCCACTTCCCTCTCCAGCCTCCAACCCTCGCAAGCTAGCAGGGGTGGTCACTCACCTTGGGCCAGATAAAGAACAGCCCGGGCCACCTTCAGCCGCCGCTCCCTACTGACCACCTCCAGCCGGTCCAGGAGTCCCATTACATAGGTCTTTTGAGCATCTTCCTCCAACTCTAGCCATTCCTTGCCCTGCACTGGGGATAGAAGGCCATACATATCCAGTGTCAGCCACGCCATCCTTCCTGGAAAGGCTCCTGATAGTATATCTGCCTCTAATCTCAGCCCCCAACAAATTCTTCCCTCTAAAAGCTTTCCTTGTTTAACTGAGAAAGAACAAGGGATGGGAAAGTAAAGGACCAAAAATGTTCTGGCTTGAACCCACTCTGTAGTCTCATCTTCAACGTCTCCTTTGTCTTCCACATACAGCCTATATTGTCCTGTCTCTCTGCATATCCAATTCCTAGTCATCCTTATAGGCCCAATTCAAAATAACCTCTTTCCCACTAATGCTCCAGCCAAAAGCTCTGCTCCTAAGACCCTTTTTTCTTTTCTGTGATACTTAGTATTTTCCTCTTGGCCTCTGCTAGTTTCATGATGCACACATCATGCTGCCAGACTATAGCCTCTTTGTAGAAGCTGCTTCTCACCCCTGCCTCCTGCATCGCTGACACAGAAGATACTCACCATACATTTGTTGAATTGAAAATTGAATTGCCACAGAAAAAGTAAGGAAATGAAGGTCTGAGAATGTCGTGGTGTGGGCACATAAAATTACTATTGGGAGTGGGGCAGAGTTGGAGGCAGGGGTTGAACATTAAGGTCAAGGGGTTCTATTAGGCAGCAGGGCACCAGTCCAGCCTCGCCTCACCATCCCTCTGCTCTCCTGCCCATTTACACCAGGGAAAGGAACCCAGCTCAGGCTCTTTTTTGCTTCTCATGGCCTCTCCACTTGAGATACAGAGAAACCTGTATCACATATACAAGAAGAGAAGGGTATATGGTTATGGAAGGGATAAAGGATCATACTTTGTTTTAGCCCTTTACTAGGTCAGGCTGGGATATCACAGGAGGAAAAAAGAAGGACTCTATGAGTAAAGATCCAGGATCACCTTGAGTCTTGAAATCTTCTTCAAAGCATCTTCTGTTATTGGTGAATTCCAGGTTCTCAGTGTAGCTATACAATTCTGCAGCAGGAAAGACATACAGTCACATTCAGGAGATCCTTAAAGAAGGGGATTGGGGTAGAGAGGGTGGCATGAAAGAGCTGAAGCTTCCAACACATTCCTGTGTCCAATTCAATCCAAAGCCAGCTTCCTCCCGTTCAGAGCAGTTAAAAATAGCCACTTGTGTCCCTGGGTGATTAAACCATCAAACCTGTCCTCCTCCTGCCAGCTGGCTGATGCAGCAGAGAAGGCAGCCTTCAACATTCAGTGAGGGCCAAAAGGAGGGCTGGAGCACAGAGAGCTTAATGTCATCAACTCCTGTTTCTCAGGGCTGCAACTCCTTCTGCTTTGTCAGTCTAGACTGGGACTATCCTATCTCTAGGGGAGAGGAGAGAAACACAACTCCTGAAATTTAGAGGCAAGATCCTTGTGCTGTTCAGGAAGCCAGGGCAAGGGCTGAAAAGTAGGTCCTAGATGGCTCTTCAGGGCTGGAGCCAGTTCATTCTCTCCCTGCTGAGTTTACTCAAAGGGTGTATAAGTTTAGGTTCCTGCCCATGGCAGAGACTGCATAAAACCATGTAGAGAACAGATATAGTTGCCAAAGGACTGCCTGTGCCCAGGAAAAGCTAACTTTGCTGACAGCAGCCTCTCCATACAAAATACAGAAAGCTTATGAGAAATTCAAATGCCCTTTCCTACACACCCCTGCCCCCAGAACATTTTATCTGCACTCTCATGTTACAGAAGATGAAGAATTGAAGTAGAAAAGTCAATAGGTGATAGAAAAGATTTCCTCAAAATTTCTTTCCACACCTGAGCCCCTTACTGGAAATTTAACTAGGTCACAGATAATTCTCAAAGCAAAAGAAACTCACATGTTCCAGCCAGATGTCTAATGGTTGAGAAACACCTTGTCTGGGAGCCAGGACTTTGAGTCCTGAGTTCCAGAAGCTGGGAATGACCAGAAACAAATCCCATCTCTGAATCTTAAATTCTTCAGTCATTAGTGGAGAATGTGGATATATATATTTTTATTATTTTTTTTAACTTCCACAGAAATATATTTTTTATTTTTTTTTTTATTTTTTTTATTTTTTATTTTTTTTTTACCTACCAACAGCAAGTCGAAGAAATATATTTTTAAGAGTAAGGTACTACTCAGTCAGAAAAGTGAGCAAGGCTCTTAGGGTACTGAACTTTGGTTTTGTTCTTTTTATTTTTAAATTTTAGATTATGATTTTCATATACAGGTAAGTATGGAATAGTACATTTAAGACACTTGTATATCTTCAACCCAGATTAAACAAATGTTAGCACTTGTCATAACTGCTTCAGACTGTTCCACAGTCTATTTTATTCCCTTCTCTAGAGCTATCCCCATAATGAAGTTGGTATGTATCCTTCATATGCCTATTTTTATACTTTTACTACATATGTATGTGCCTGTAAACAACATATGATGTTTTGTTTTAAATTTTTTTTTTTTTTTTTTTGATACAGAGTCTCACTCTGTTACCTGGGCTAGAATGCCATGGCATCAGCCTAGTTCACAGCAATCTCAACTCCTGGGCTCAAGGGATCCTCCTGCCTCAGCCTTCCATAGTGCTAGGATTACAGGTGTGAGCCACTGCGCCCGGCCTGTTTTAAAAATTTTTATTAAAGCAGTACCATATTGTATAAATTCCTTGGTCACTGCTTCCTTTCCTCAACTTTGTTTTTAACATTTATTGATATTGAAGCACATTGATATAGATTTTTTTTTTTTTTTTTTTTTTTTTTTTTTTTTTTTGAGACAGAGTCTCGCTTTGTTGCCCAGGCTAGAGTGAGTGCCGTGGCATCAGCCTAGCTCACAGCAACCTCAAACTCCTGGGCTCGAGTGATCCTTCTGCCTCAGCCTCCCGGGTAGCTGGGACTATAGGCATGCGCCACCATGCCCGGCTAATTTTTTATATATATATCAGTTGGCCAATTAATTTCTTTCTATTTTTTTTTATAGTAGAGACGGGGTCTCGCTCTTGCTCAGGCTGGTTTTGAACTCCTGACCTTGAGCAATCCGCCCGCCTCGGCCTCCCAAGAGCTAGGATTACAGGCGTGAGCCACAGCGCCCGGCCTTGATATAGATTATTTTAATGGTTATACAGTAGCCCACCGGACTAATATGCTATCCATTCCCTTACTGATGGACATTTTAAGTTGTTTTCAACTTTTCACAATGATAAACAAGCATGCAATAAACATCTTTGTACATTTTCTTGTGCCCAAGTATAAATTTCTTTTGAGCATACATCTAGGAATAGAAATGCTGGGTCACAATATGTATACATCTTCAACTTTAGATATGACCAAACAGCTTTCCAATTTTATACTCTGCTTCCCCATACCTAGCAGTGTATAAAAGTATTCATTTCTCTGTACCCTCACCAACCCCAGGATTTTAAGTTTTGCAATCTGATGATTGTGAAATCATATGTTATTCTTTTAATTTGCTTTCCCCCATTTACTAGTGAAGTTCAATATCTTTTCATACATTTAATGACCACTTGGTTTTCCCTTCTATGAATTCCTATTCATATTCTTTGCCCACTTCTCTATTTGGTTATTCATTTCCTCCTCTTCTCTTTATCTAGCTCTCTCTCTAAATATATATATATATATTTTTTTTTTCATATTCTGGGATCTAATTCTTTGTTGGTTATTAAACTTAGCTCTCTATTTCTGTCACTCATCACAAAATTTATTCACTTGTGCTTATTCACAAGAACTTCTTTTAAAATGTCTCTTTTCTCTGAAAAAGCATGTCTCAAAGTGACACTTCCATGTGACAGAATATTTAACTTTCACACCATCTCCACCCAAAGCTCGTTTATTAATAACTGGCATTCATAGCACGTATAACACGGAGGCCCTTACAGTGAGAAGATCACATTTACCCTAAGCTAAAAAGCCAGACACAGAGAAGCAGCCCAGCCCTGAAAGAATAGAATTACTTAAGCCCAACTCACAAACATACAAGCAGAACTCCACTCTAATGGATGCAGGTGACACATCCAGCCTTCCTTGGCTGGCCAGTTGTCTATAGAGTTTTTCCTCAGACATTGAGATTTTAATAAGGGGCAGGTGTTAGAGGGAAAGATGGAGGTAGAGGAGACAAAGGAGAGAGAGATGGAATGAGATAGACAGAGGGTGGCAGAAAGAAGGGTCCAGGCAAAGATATGGATGACAGTAGGAGAAAGAGAGAAAGAATAGGAAGAAAATGGAGAGAAAACTGTTTTGAGAGTGTACCAAAATAGAATAATGAAGGGTGATCAGGAAAGAGTGATAGAATAGAATGGAAGAACAACGAATACCACAGCCAAGTAGAGTCTACAGAAGGAAATGTGAAAGCAAATAAAGAGATATTTACCATTGGAGAATGGAGAGAAAATGGAATGTGGAGAACAGTCTTTAATAGACACTTGCTGAGAACAAACAAGCTGCCAGGGAAGATCACAGCCCCCCTCCCTTCTCCTGGCCATTCCTCCACTAACTACTGACCCAACTACCTCATACCTGACAACTCTGCCGCGTGCCCATCTGCATCTCCATACTCAAACTCCAGAGTGGGGCAGTCCACAGAGCCCTGTAATGAAGAAATTTTTCTGGTAACTGAGGTAACTTGGGAAAAGGGGCTGCCAAAGAAAGATTACCCTTATTTCATCTTCTTCCCTTCTTGGAGGCCAATGTTAGATCAGGGAGGCAGTTAGGAGAGTTCTATTTGGGCCTTTCATCCCAGAGGTATCCTCATCCAAGCCAAAATTTGAGGCTCATTGTGGGGAGAGGCTGAGGATTCCTATATAGAATCAGAAAGTCTGGGTAAAGGGCAGGATCCCAAACAGATACAAAAGCTACCATCTGTGCCCACATCTAATTGACATAAACACAGATCAGAGGAACATCTAGCTGATCTCTACAAAAATGAGACAGACAAAAACAAAAGAGAACTGGATTTTAACCCTAGTTCTGTCATCAACTACATGATATGGGGCGAGTCTCATGCTGTGGGTCATAGTTTCTCATCTATAAAAAGAGGTTCTTCAGCTCTAATATTTGACAATTTTAAGATTGTCACATAAGGTACCATTTCTACTCCACATTGTAGATAAGGGTAGATTTCCTACAATGTTGTATATATAAATTTATAATCCTATTAAAATATTTTAAATCCCATTTTCTAACTTCTTTAAGCATTTAGGGGTATTTCCTTCCAGTATAAGATATATGAATATTTAAAATTCTCAATCTCAGTTCTGTCACGTACTGTGTGATCTTAGGCAAGTTAACTTCTCTGCCTCAGTGTGGTATAAACAATATATTGGTCTTTGCCCCTGGTGCCTGGTACAGAGCTCCTGAAATCCTTAAAATTTCCTGAGTGATAAGAGTATCTGTTACTATATATTGGTAATGAACCCTTGTCAACCATATCAGAATTTATGCTAATGAGGTGACTTATGGTGGGAAAGACCAAAGTCTTGATTTGAGGGCTTAACTGTCAGTAGCACCCCTATCTCCAGGGAGGGGAGGAGAACTAGAGATTGAATTTAGTCACATGGCCAATGGTTTAATCATGCTTAAGTAATGAAATCCCATATGAAAACCCAGAAACAACTAAGCTCAGGCAGCTTTTGAGTTGGTGAACAAACAGATGTGCTAGGAGAGTGGTGACCCAGAAGGGTATGGAAGCTCTGTACCACCTCAGCCCCATACTTTGTCCTATGCATCTCTTCCATTTGGGTCTTCCTGAGTTGTATCCTTTATAATAAAACTGCAATCATAAGTACATGCTTTCCTGAGTTCTATGAGTCATTCCAGCACATTATGGAACCTGAAGAGAGGGTCATGATAACCCTTTAATTTGTAGTTGGCCAGGTGGAAGTGTGTTTGGCCAGGACCCCACCTGTGGCTGAGGTCTATCAAAAGTGGGGGCCGCCTTGTAAGACTGAGCTCTTAACTTGTGGGGTCTGTGTTCACTCTGGATAGTAAGTGTCAGAATTAAATTGAATTGTAGGACATCCAAGGAGTTGTTGGAAAATGATGTGCTCAGTTTTTTCATCTGTAAAATGAGGATAGTAATAGGACTTATTTCACAGGGTCATTGTAAGGCCTGAATGAGTTAATACAGGAAAGGCACTTAGCACACTACCCAGCACTTGGCAGCACTATGTGGGTGGTTACCCTACTTAGAATTTTAATATTAAAGATATTCTTCTCATATTATTATGACTATCACTTTAAATGGCTGAATAAGTGGATATTTATTGGTTTACTTAACCAGTTCCCTATTTTTGAACATTTAAGTTGTTTTTAATTTTTCTTTATTATATGATTGAAACTATAATACACTTATAATTTTTTTATATTTCGGATCTTTCCTAAAGATAAATTTTAATAAAGGGAATTAATGAATCAAATCTTATGAATATTTTTATGGTTCTTTGTATGGCTCATGATGATTTGCTTCCCAAAAACATTATATCAATTTATATTGCCAGCAAGGCAAATCATCTTAAAATCCACTATAACAAAAATTTTCAAACTTTTGGATTACAGGGACCAGTAGGGAAAAAAGAAGGTGGAGGGTGGGGAATGACATAAGGTTGTTGCTGTTTTATAGGGACTTTATGTAGGGACTTTAAAAAGTCTTTTTAAAAATACATATATTTCAAAAAAGAAAGAATAGTTTAATACTCCAAAAATGAAGGACAAAATCTCAGAATAAAGGATAATCATTAAAAACAATGTTTTTCAAACTCTTTAGAAAAATTATACATTTTATATCATGTCCCAACACACCCCCCCCCACAAACTGGAACAAAAATTTAACAAAAAATACCCAAAATACCCTATACATGATGCACGACAGTTTCTATTATTTCTTTAAAAAACATTGGTCCCAATTCACAAGTTGTCCCCTATAATTTGAAAAACACTGTTTTAAATTATATATATCCTTTAATATATTGAATTAAATTTTAGAAAAATTCACTTCATGAGGTAACACAAGATCAGAAGAATAGGCTCCACTGTACTCGCCATCAAATTGGTACTGACTGATTAACACAATGGTGCTCACATGTTAGTAATAGTCTCCAGGGATAGGGGTGGGGTGGGAGGATAAACTCACAACTATAGGACACGGTGTGGTGCATGGAGGGGAGGGGGAGAAGGGCAGGCTTCTAACCCCTGCTAGGGAGAGGCAATGACATAAAATGTAACCAAAATGTTTGTACCCTCACAATATCCTGAAATAAAAAAACAAAAAAATTTTTTAAAAATTAAAAAAAGAAAAATTCACTTCAATGACTTGAATTTTCTACATCTCACCACAGACCAGTTAAAACCTTGTCAAAGACCTTGAGAAAGAACAACCAGGAGATCTGGCTAAAAGAGGCCTGAGGTGAATCCTTTTGTTAGGTTAAAGATCTTTTAATTAAGCAAACAGTTATTCTCTAGCTTCCTTTTTAGGTTGAGATGTTCATATACTAAGCCATTGGGAGTAGGTAGGTCAATAGCGCCCCTATAAATGCAGTGATATAGGAGGAGGCTCTCTTGACTTGTGCTAACAGTAATTCTCTTCTAGTAATTCTCTAGAAGCCCCAGAGAAGGAAAAAAATCCACCTCCTCTAAGGACTGTCTTCCATAGGAAAGCAAAGAGAGGGAGGGAAGGAAAAGCAGATCTGGCACTTGGGTCTGTGGTGATTGGGGAGGTACTGACAGGTAAAAGCAGCTTTCCTGCTGCAGTAGGAGGAGGAGGAAAGCTAATCTTTCCAGCCAGCCTTTTGGCAGGCAACGAGCCCAGATAGAGAGGATCACTGCAGTTGTTCATTTCCAGGCATGAAGAGTGCAGCTGCAGACAATCAGCAGGTAAAACTGTGGTGCAGGTGGAAAGCTCCCAGTCTCTGGACACTGAGGTCACTGGCAAAAGTACTGTATTATCAGAGCCTTTTTTGTGAAGGCAGACTTCATAGGTGGAGAACAGACTGCAACTTCAGAAGGGAGATAGAAGCAGAGACTGCTTTATTTCCCCCATAGAACATTTTATTCTGAAATTATTTATTTACTCAAAATTTGTCTGTCTCCCCAACCCTACTGGAATGATAGCTCCACAAAGGCAAAGACTTTATCTTGTTCACTGATATAATCCTAGCACCTAAAACAGTGCTTGGCATATAGAAAGACTGCAATAAATAATTGTTGAATTAATGAACGACTCATCCCCCAAAAAAACGTTTGAGCAAGAACAATGTCTCTGCGGGGGAAGAAGGCACAGGGTGCCCTAGAAGACCAGATTAGTATTGAGGTAGGGAGGGAGACCACGTGGTGGGTATGATCTAGCAAGGCAGGAAGGCTGAGCTCTGCCTCTGCAAGGTGGTGACTTTGGGCCAGTCTTTTCACCTTTTTCTATCTTTAAAAAACATAGATGGATTCCTACTCTGCCTATGTCAAAATAGAAAGCATACAAGAGATCAGTTTGGAGACTGAAATGCTATTTAAATGGTAAACCAATCTGGGACGCCAAAGACTTGGCTTCTAGCACTGCCACTTGATGACGACGATGATGATGACAGTAATACAGTACTAAGAGCTACTAGGTACTGACCAATTACATACCGTGTGCCTGCATTGTGCTATACATATATTCAATTATCTCATTTTGACTTTATCACAACCTTCCGAGGTAGGCAGTGTTAACCCCATTTTACAGATGAAGAAGCTGGAGTTCAGAGAGGTTCAGTAATTTGCCAGAAGTCACACAGATAGTAAATGGGAGGGCTGGGATTCAAAACCTGGGCTGAATGACTCCAAAGTTTGGTGCTCTTGGCCACTCACTATTGCCAGATCCCTGATCTTGGGCAAGTTACTTCTGTCTCTTTTAGGTCCGTAAAATGGAAGGGCTATACCAGATTATCTCTTACAGGCCTTTCCACATCTGACATTTTGCGGTCTATTCTGATTCCCGCTCAGATCCAGCCAATGGAAACTGCCTGGATGAGGGTGTTGGGGAAGTGATAATAATTCAGTCCTTTCGTCTTCTTCTTTAGGATTTCTTTTTTCAGAAAAGGACGAAGACGTGGAAACACGCATACCCCTATCTGTATCCTGGGACAGACCCCTCCAAATAGTCACTCTTGTCTTGCCCCAGCCTGAACCCCGTCTCATTTAACGCTTTGTTGGGGGGGCCGGTGCCGCGGAAGGCGCTCCCTAAAGGGCCTAACACTTACAGGAGGAAGAGGATGGAAGGGGAAGGGCACAAGTCCGGGCCAATCTGGACCAGCCCAGGGGCCGGGGCAGGCAGTCGGGAGCGGGAGGGCGGCTGCCCCACTCGCCGACCCTCGCCTCCCGCAGCTGAGCTCCGGCCTCCCGGCCCTCAGGCCAGCCGCTTAACCTCCCCTCGCCTGTTCCCTCAGTAAAGTGGGATCTGAATTCCTGCTTCAAGGGGCCGCAGCGATTAAGTAAGACAAATATTTGGAATGCATCTAGCACTCTCTGTAGCTTGCTCCATCTTCGCGCCCCAGGGAAAGGCCGAGGGCTAGAAAGCTCCCGACCCGCGACAGGTGACGTGCGGAGAACAGTCGGGGCTGCAGAGCTCAGAGTCCAGTCGCGGCGGACCCTGCAGGCGCCCGCTCCGAGGGACCGCCTGGGGCGCGCGGGGGTCTCGGGGCCGAGGCCGAATCACCTCAGCCGCCGCTTCCTGCCCGCGGGTGTCTCCAGCCCCAACCGAAGCTCCCCGGAGTCCTCACCTCCGACTCCCGCCGCTGGCTTCGGAACGCTTCTCGGCCCTTGGCGGCCGCCTGCTTCCCTTTGCTGCCACCGTTGCCGTTGCCGTTGCCATTGCCGTTGCCGTTGGCGGGCGGGACCCCTGCCCCGGGCACCGCCGGGTCTTCCATGCAGCGGGCAGCGGCTCCCCTCAGGGCTCAGCGCGCTCTGCCTGGGGCGACCCCTCCGCCGCGCGCCCGAAGCGCGGGCCCGCCCCTCCGCCGCTATTGGCTCTGATCGATCTCCGCAGCCCCGCCTCACGACGCGATTGGCTGCTCGACCAGCCGGAGCGGGACTCGAAGAGGTGGGGGCTAGTTCAAGGGATTTTAGAGAAATCTTTCTTTTTCGTCCTGCGGCATTACTGGTAGCCCGAAACTCCTAGACTGGCTCCCGGCTCCACCTGCCGAATGCTGGGCCTTGAACTCAAGCGGGCTATTTCTGCTTCTCGCTCGCTCTCTCAGCACTCACCCCTGCCCCAATAGCGACCTTTACCAGGAGCTCTAGTCCCCGCTCCGGCTCCTGCGGTCTAGGTGTCCACATTCCCACGGACGCGGACCCCCAAATCCCGGCTCACGTCCCACATCCCACTTAGACGCAGGGGAGGGATGGCACCGCCAGGTGACCAGGACACCGCAGGAAGCGGGGGACTCATACTTTCCGTAAGCCAAGATTTCTGAAGGGAACGTGTCTCGCCCGGAGTGAGAGCTTGGCTGGGAGACGGGGTTGAGGGGTGGGATGAGGGCGTTTTTATTTCACTGAAATTGCTGATGCCGCCCAGGACTGCTTCTGGTCATCTGTCCTTCTCTGCTGTAGTAGGCACCTTCCTCGTGGGGTGAGGTGGGGAACAAATGTTGAATGAGGATCAAGTCCCCACCCTGACTGGCTTCCCCATCCTTTCCTTCCTTCTTCTCTCCTTTCTGAGATACTTCCTAAAGGCTCAGTGTTCCCCGGGGCTAAGAGGCTGTTTGTTTGGTCTGCTCTCTCTTGAATTTACCTAAAAATCAGCTTGCAGTAAATATTTAAATAGTCTAGCTTGTTAATAGAAGCCCCAAACTAGTAAGCTGAAGGGAATGGGTATTGCACTAGGCATTGCACTAGGCACTTTCCTGATATCATAACTCTCTTTGACAGGTTATTTTCACTAATCCAATATTACTGATGAGGAAACCAAGACTCACAGATTAATCCTTGCAATTTCTAAGGTATCATACTCTGTCTCAGGGCCTCGCATATGCTGTTCTCCGAGGAATCATTCTTCTGTTCTCTTGGTTGACTTTTTCTTTCTTAAATATTCTAGTTAGTTATCACCTCCTCCTCCTCCAGAAAGCCTTCCTTTTGACCTTCCTCAACCGATTCAGGCTATGTTGGTGTCAAGCCAACTCTGCCTGGATCCAAAATCCTAACATTTTATTTTATTTTTTTGAGACAGAGTCTCACTCTGTTGCCCAGGCTAGAGTGCCGTGGCATCAGCCTAGCTCACAGCAACCTCAAACTCCTGGGCTCAAGCAATCCTCCTGCCTCAGCCTTCAGAGTAGCTGGGACTACAGGCATGCACCACCATGCCCCGCTAATTTTTTCTATATATTTTTAGTTGGCCAATTAATTTCTTTCTATTTTTTTTTAGTAGAGACGGGGTCTTGCTTTTGCTCAGGTTGGTTTCAAACTCCCTCCTAACCTTGAGTGATCTGCCCGCCTCAGCCTCCCAGAGTGCTAGGATTAGAGGCATGAGCCACTGTGCCAGGCCCTAACATTTTACACTATATATCCAAAACAATTACTCCCCCTTCCCATATCTTAGGGACAACTCTGTCCCTTTCTTACTATATCTCTCCCTCACTCTTCCCTCTGCTAGTTAGTAGGTGACAGAACAAGGCAGGCTTGAGGGCACTCCTTGGAGCTTTCTGGGTTCCTTTCTCTCCCTGGGCCGCAACATCTCCTTACTGTACCCACCCATCTTCCCTTTCCTCTCCCATTCCCACTCCTAACCCGACATGGATATAGGCTCCTTCAGAGTAGGACCAAGTTTCATTCATTTTTGTATGTCCCATTTATGTATAACACAGAGTTTCACAGTCTCTGTACTATTGATATTTGTGGCTGAAAAATTACTTATGGGGAGGGGGGCTGTCCTGTATATTGTAGGATGTTTAGCAGAATTCCTTGGTCTCCGCCAGGCGCAGTGGCTGACATCTGTAATCCTAGCACTCTGGGAGGCTGAGGCGGGTGGATTATTTAAGCTCAGGAGTTCGAAACCAGGAGTTCGAAACCAGCCTGAGCAAGAGTGAGACCCCCATCTCTACTAAAAATAGAAAGAAATTACTTGGACAGCTAAAAATATATAGAAAAAAAATTAGCTGGGCATGGTGGTGTATGCCTGTAGTCCTAGCTACTCCGGAGGCTGAGGCAGAAGGATTGCTTGAGCCCAGGAGTTTGAGGTTGCTGTGAGGTAGGCTGATGCCATGGCACTCACTCTAGTCTGGGCAACAAAGTGAGACTCTGTCTCAAAAAAAAAAAAGAATTCCTTGGTCTCTCCCCACTATTTGCCAGTAGTACCCCAGATACTGTAAAATGTCCCCTGGGGGGCAAAATCTTCAGTTCAGATTCACTGGTTTACAGACTGAATTGATACAAATTTCCAAGAAAGTCCCTGGCTCAAGGCCTAACCTATTTGATTTTGGAATTTTTTTCAGTGTATAATTTGTTAAACTCTCAAAAATTTACACCCTGTTTTAAAATTCACAACCAACGCCTAGCTCATCCCTGCTTCTGTGTCGTAAACCTGCCACAGCACAGCCCATTGGAGTTTCTTAATAAAAAGAATTCATTATTCTACCTTTCTTCTTCCTAATACTTCCTCTAAGCAGGCAGATCCCTAGGATTGACAAGCCCAGAACTTCATATTCTTTTGTAAGCCTAGTTAATCAGCAGGATCCCAACAGTGGTGGCAGATAAAAGTGGCCAGTGTTGAGGCTTTGATCCTTTCCCTACCTATCCCTAGGGTAAAGAGCAGAGACTGATCCTCAATTAGGAGTAAGATCTCTGGCCTCCATCTAAAGCCAATTGCTGAGCCTAGAGCTCCATCTGGCTTTACTTTCAGAAAAGAAATTTGAAAAACTGGTGCTCTGGAGACCAAAAAATCATAAGGAGAGACCTAAATCCATGATCTTTTCCACACTCCAGTGAAATGGAAGACTGTAAAGATCAGACATCTGATCATTACGGGCCCAGATATTCAGAACTTGTCACAAGGAGGAAGATAATCTGGAAACAACAGGAAGAAGTAACAAGAAACTGCAGAGTGACTGAAAACTTTGAAACTATAGGCCATGACATTGGCACACGCTCAATTTCTTTTAGCTTATTTGTCAGCAAAGGAGTGATAGTCATCAATACCACTGACCACAGAGGCATCCATCAGGCACTCATACCTGGGAGCTAGTCAAGGCTGGTCTATAAGTCTTTCCATCCTGCAGAGATGGCTCCAGTCCTGTTATTTCTAAAGTTATTAAAAAACCTACATTACCAATTTCTCTTGTCTCAGAACTCAGGTTTTCTTCAAAACTCAGGCAGAAGGCTGTAGGTATAAATATGTATAAGATTCAAACATACCATTTTCCCCATATAAACATTCTACTTTAACCCACAGAGGTCATATATTTGATTAAATAGATGGCATCTGGCACTGAGAAAGCTTAAAAATAAGATGCAAGAAGCGTTAAAGTACCTGCTTTTTGAGCCTATCAGGCAACTAGGATAATATAGTAGAAAAACAATAGAACACCCTTCTGTCCCCATAAAGGGCATGTGTGGGTGTAGTGATGCAATGGAGGCTGTAGGGCCCGAATGAGACAAAGAATTGATGTTTATGCAGTCAGCAGTGTGTGCCGGGCTTTGTAAGCAGCATGTTTTATATATCAGGTCATTAAATCCTTACCCTCACCCAAAAGATAAACATTACCCACTTCACAGGCAAAGAAACTGAGGCTCTGAGTGGTTATATAATTCAGCCAAGTTATACAACTGGTAAATGGCAGAGCTGGGATTCAAACCCAAGTTAGCCTGATTCAAAATCCAAGCTCTTTCCACAATACTGTGAGGTGGAGAAATTTGCACAGCGGTGGGCAGCCTGGGCTTACCCATGAATCTGAAATTAAGACCCAGGCACCTGAGGTTCTATCTTTTACAAAAGAGAAGTCAAGCCCTACTGTAGGGAATAAACTCACAGGCTTCATTGCTAGCTGCTGCATTCTCCCCCTTAACTGAAATGGCATCAGCTTTGAGCATTACCAACTGCCCAGACTATTCTAGCCCTGTGACCCATAGTCTAAATAAATAGAAGTCAAAGTGGTAGAAGATGGTGCTAGAGAAGGAAAACATCTTGCAACAGGATGCGGAACTAGTTTGTCAACTAAAGAAGGTGGCTATCATTAGGCCGGGTGCGGTGGCCTGTGGCCTGTAATCCTAGCACTCTGGGAGGCCGAGGCGGGTGGATCGCTCAAGGTCAGGAGTTCGAGACCAGCCTGAGCAAGAGTGACACCCCATCTCTACTAAAAGTAGAAAGAAATTAATTGACCAACTAAAAATGTATAGAAAAAATTAGCCAAGCATGGTGGCGCATGCCTGTAGTCCCAGCTACTAGGGAGGCTGAGGCAGGAGTTTGAGGTTGCTGTGAGGTAGGCTGACGCCATGGCACTCTAGGCCAGGCAACAGAGTGAGACTGTCACATACAAAAAAAGAAGGTGTCTATCAGGAAGATACCCAAAGATGGCTACCTTACTGGTAGATGGGAAACAAGAAGCAGCTGGATTCATCCTCTGATTACTGATTTAGTCAGGCAACATGATTCAGAGACAAAGCTCTGCCTAATTCATTTCTTTCTTCCTTTTGGCCGAATACATTCAGATCCTGGGTGTCAGGGACCTTTGGTCCAACTGTGGGGATGCTGACTTCTTGAGCTCTGCAGCTAAAGGCAGCACACAGAGGGCTCAGGGGATCTAGAACCACGCTTTAGCTTCTCTGCCTTAAGCCTACAGTTCTCAGCTCTCTGGGGTGGGTATGAGAAGGCAGGTTCCTTACACAAATAGCCAAGGTGTATGGGGGCAGGGCAGGGGAGCAGGGAGACAAGGTATTTATTAGCAAGGATAAGGGCATTCAAATATGTCTATTATTAACTGCTTCTGCTTTCCACATCCTTGTCCTACAGCAGGCTCTCTAGGC